CTCTCTCTCTCTCTCTCTCTCTCTCTCTCTCTCTCTCTCTCTCTCACACACACACACACACACACACACACACACACACACACCCCTAAGCATTCAAAGAGGCTTTTACCCTATGTCACCGTGCTCTGTGAGCTGCACCCCGCCTGTAGGTAACCAGATAGAGACGTTGCTATGGGAAGCAGTCTGTTCATCCTGTGGGCCAGTTCTGTCTGGGCCCTGGAGAAGCTGCGGTGAAAGCTTCCTTCCCAGTTGAGCTCCTGTTTCTGGCTCAGTATTGCCCACCAGAGCTTCCTCCAAAGATGAAGGTGTCTCAGTCTGCTTAGCATAGTAGCACCTCACACATTTGGCTACTGAGCATCAGAAATGTGTCTAGCATGACTGAGGACCTGCATTGGTGACTTCATTTTAATTCATTTAAACTCAAAGAACCATGTATGGCTGGCAGGTGCCATATTGGGCAGCACAGTTCTCGGGGAAGAAAAAAGGAATAATGAAGTGAAGAGATGTCCTCCTCATCCGCTAGACACAAACAGGTAACAGAATGTCAGCTATGAATGCACTCTGGGGAAAGCACAGCCAAGGAGGAGCTAGAGAGTGGCTGGGACAGCATTCTCGCAGAGGGGCAGTGGTCAGGACAGGCCTGCCTGGGAGCAGCTCCACTGGAATGTGCTGGCTGAGGCCTGTCATGAAAGTAGTGCTGGCAGCAGCTGGAGGACAGGAGAAAAGGAGAGAACACAGGGGCCAGGACACCTGGCATGCAGGCTGCTAGGAGGGATGGAGTTGCCCTGGTGGGCTCTATGCACAAAGGGAACGCAAACCAGTCTCATCAGAAAGCATCTCTCCATGGCTCTGAGAGAAGAAACCGGAGGCCGGTGGGAGGCCGTGGTAGGAAACAGGCTGGAGGTGCTGGGGGCCTAGACAAGGGCCTGGGTGGCAGTGTGCAAAGGGCTCCAATGCTGGTTTTGTCTGAGGGAAGAGTTGGCAGGACTGCCACTGGGCAGCTGGGTGGGTGCTGCACTTTAGGGGCTTTGGGCCTGGAGGACAGTGGTGTAGCAGTTGAGGGAGAAGAGCTGGGGTGGGGGGGACACAGCGTGCTGGGGAAGGGAACCAAGAGTTTCAACTCATGGGGAGGTGGAAACGGGAGTCAGATGCGGTGGCTGCACCAAACAGGAAGGCAATTGCCCTCTGCTCTGCCTTTTTTCCTCCACCTCCACTGCCCCCGTGAGACCAGAACCCCACTGCTGACTGGCCCAGCCTGAGAACACCAGTACTGCAGTCCTAGAGGGCCAGGCGCTGGGCCTGATGCAGGGAATACCCTCTCCCATCCTACTCAGGTTGTCACCTAAGCACCTGAACAGGTGGCCTGCTCTCCTCAGGGGACTCAGCACCAGGCAAGTGGGAGATGGCATGGCATGGCTCTCTCTTTCAGGAATGTCAGGTACCCTTGACTCAAAACTCTCTCCTCCTTCAGCCACAAAACGAAAAATCCTTGCACCCCTAATGCATCAGGACCCAACATCCCACCAGGCTTTGCTGCTTTTCTCTAACAGCCTTCAAGATTCTCTTCCAGTGTTGGATTGCTAAAATTTTAATTATTATGTAGCATGAAGTGGGGTTTTGTTTTGTTTTGTTTTTTCCTGATCATGGCTCTTTAGGACTCTGTGTGTCTCCCTGATATGTATGTTAAATTCTTTTTCTGTGTCTGGAAGTTTTCTAGAAACAGGTTTGTCTTATGCCCTCTGTGCTGTCTTCTGATTTTTCATTTAATACAATTATTCCTATCTTAGTCTTCTTTGAGTCCTCTAAACGCTGTTGGCTCTGTTTTTCATGTTCTCTTGTTGTTTTTATCTTTCATTAACTGATCGCTAGCCTGTTTTCTAGAACAGACACTGTCCTCATATTGGTTATTTCTGACTTTCCCTCTAGTGTTTAATCTCTTGGGTTTCTGTGCGGAACTTCTTTATGGACTCCCATTCTTTTCTGTGCTGGGGGGTCATGCTTTACTTCTCTTTCTTCAGCTCCACTAGCTGTTCATTGGTGTCTTCTCTAGACTCACTGATCACTTCTTACATTAGGCTCATGATCTGTTTAATTGTGTCTTCTTTGAAGTCACCAAGCCCCTTACTAAGCTGTTGCATTACCTCCACTGATACTGTCAGGTATCTCCGCTGTGTGACATGATTTCTTTGCCCTCAAGGCTCTCTGGACCAGCTTCGGGGAACTGGAAGATTCTGGAGGCATTTTGTTGACTTGTTTTCTCATGTTTCTGTGCTGGGATTTGCAGTCCCTTTGGCCCTGTGCCAGGTTCTCCCTGTTGTTTCCAGTGTTGTTCACAACCCCCAGACAATCCAGATAGTGGCATTCAGAGAAAACCACCTGACAGCACCAATCGTGTCCCCTTGGATATAGCAGTAAAGTCAGTGACAGCAGTGAGGCCAAATATGAACTGGGTTCTAGCAAACCCTAACAGCCACTCAGGAGCCACATTTGGCCAGAGCAGAGCGGTCTATGATTTTAGGGAAGACTCGGGCAGCTCAAACAGTGACCTTCAGTAAATCAGACCACTAATTCCTGCTGGATGCAGGCAGTGGTGTAAAAGCTCAAGTGGACCATGGGACCAAATTCCACCTCCTTCAGATGCACCCCCTCTGAAGGTTACATCAACCACACTGGCCTCACACCATAAATTCGGGCTCTGTAATCTTCCTGGCCTGAGCTTGAACTTCTCAGGACATTTGGGGAGTTTTCTGTCAGCTCTCACTTTCTCCAAGCCTGTCCCCCAGTCTCTGTGGAAGGGGAACACTGCAGGCCCAGAACAAAACTCTCCTCCTCCTCTAGTGTTTTATCTGCATTAAGGATAGTCTTGGTTGTCCCCTCTGTCAGCCTGTGCCTGAAGCATGAGAGGTGAGGCCCTGGTGTCTTCAACCAGGACAGCGGGGTCCTTCTCAGGCACAGGATGCTCCAGGCTCCTGGGAGGAGGGGGTTCCCAAATTAACATTTGTCTAAGGCAATTCCAATCAGAATTCTAATAGGAGTTTATTTTGCAGTTGATTCTGATCTATGAGAATAAAGATCAAAATAACCAAGAAGTGTTTCACAAAAGAAGAGCCATGAGGTGAACTCTCTCTACCAGATACTAAAATGTTCTCTATTATTCAAAAAACTTTAAAAGTGGGATTTAAATACAAAGCTCAACAGCTGGGTCAGGCGCACAGATTAGGTAACCCAAAATCAACCCTAGTAGATATAAAACCTCACTGTGTGATCAAGGCAGTTTCTTACAAATTAGCAAGCAAAGAAAAAAATAATGTAATACATGCTACTGAAAACTGGGAACTAGCAAGAAAGTAGTTAGAACTGTGCCTTACAGCTGGACCCCAAATAAACTCAAGCTAAATGTGAAAAGATGAAGCTAAGACACACATAGGAAAACATAAATTAACATGTCTCAGCTATAAAGACAGAGAATCCATTTTCAAATATGAATGAAGGGAACCATAAGAGAAAGAATGATAAAATGGCTATCTAAAAATTAAAATTTCTACACATTAAACATATAAAGACACCCTATGGAAAACTAAAGGTAAATGAGAAACTGGAAAAGCTTTGCAGTAGATAGAGTAAAGTATTAGTATTCTTTAGATAGAAAGAACACTCGCAAATTAGCACTAAAACCACTGAACACCATAATATAAAAATAATATTAACAGTCAGGTCACAAAATAAATAAGTGGCAAGTAAATCTTTAAGACCAATTCAACTTCACCAGCAATCAAGAAAAGAGTATTGAAAGTTTTCCTCTCCGTAACTGGCAAGGCTCATTTGTTTGCTTGTTTCCTGTTGTTTCCTCAGTACTAGGCATTGAACCTTGGAAGCAGTGATCTACATTCCCATCCTTTTATTTTTTTTATTTTGTGACAGAGCCTCCGTAAGTTGTCAAGGTGGCCTCAAACTTGTGACCCTCCTGCCAAGCCAGGTGTGTGCCATCACCCCGGACCGGGTGAGCCACTCAAAGGCAGTCACTTACATAAGCTGGGCATGGAGCTGGGCCCTCTCGTGCTACTAGAGAAAGGGCCAGTGGAGGCCAACGTTCAGTCATCAGACAGAAGGGTATTTCCAGGCCTTTGTCCAAGAGCAGTTTTCAGAAATAAGGACTAAGAGTGTTTACTGTACTTTTGTTGATAAGAGCCAAAAATTGGAAATAAATATCCAACAAAAGCTGAATGGTTAAATATATTATGTATGGCATTCTTATAGTGTAATAACATGCTGCCACTTTCTAATTCATCGCTTGGTCAATATTTATGGAAATGAGGCGCTGTTAAATAAAATAAAACTACAAAATTTGGAGCGTTTTTATTATTTTTGAGCTTTGTACTTTTCTGGATTTTCTGGATTTCCTATAGTGGTTTTGCTTTTACGATCAGTAGCAACATGTCTGTGATCATTTCTAATGCCACTGGACCCCACTCACTGGCCCCAGGTAAGCGCTTGTCTCATTGCTGATGTGCCGCAAATAAAAGGCAGCCTTCAGGCCAGGCAGCAGCAGCCATCGGCCACCTCCCCGTCTCTGCCCTACTCCCCGCCGCTGGAAGATCTCAGAGCCTGTGCTCCCTTCTGTATCTTTTTGTCTCAGAACATGAAGTGTTGCCCCACCACCACTCCTGCTTGCTTCCCAGGGAAGGAGAAAAAGAAGGTCCCCTCTCATGTGTGGAAGCACCCACTCCCATGCCACTGTTTGATTGGGTGCCCGTTGGGATGGGTCATGGGAGCAGCTCAAAAACAAGTGCTTATTTCTTCTGCACTGTGAAGAGGCACTGACTCTCTCTTTGTCCTTGTCCCACAGATATGATGCTACCCGGTGTGTTTAGCGATTGGTACAGTTGCAATTTTCTGTGCTGAAATAATTTTGAAAACACCAACTGAAGACTTGAGCATCCAAGGGAAGCCAAAGCCATTTGAGGGGGAATAAAGCCAAAAGCCTTTTATCCCGCCTCATCCGAGAAGATCACTACCCCACTTCACTCCCTCTAAAAATAAGCCATTGCACAGAAGGCAGCATGGCAAGCAAACGAAAATCTACAACTCCATGCATGGTTCGGACATCACAAGTGATTGAGCAAGATGTGCCAGAGGAGGGAGACAGGGCCAAAGAAAAAGGAATGGCCATGCCACAGTCCAACGTGGCCAAGGACAGTCGGGCAGCAGAACCTGAAAGCTCTTCCAAAGAAAATGAAGTGATAGAGGTGAAAACTGCAGGGGAAAACCAGTCCAAAAAACTTCAAGGTGGCTATGAGTGCAAATATTGCCCCTACTCCACACACAACCTGAACGAGTTCACAGAACATGTGGACATGCAGCACCCCAACGTGATTCTCAACCCCCTCTATGTGTGTGCTGAATGTAACTTCACAACCAAAAAGTACGACTCTTTGTCCGACCACAACTCCAAGTTCCATCCTGGGGAAACCAACTTCAAGCTGAAATTAATCAAGCGCAACAATCAGACCATCTTGGAGCAGTCCGTTGAAGCCACCAACCACATCGTGTCCATCACTACCCCGGGCCCTGGAAGTGGTGACAGTGATCCCGGGATCCCAGTGAGTAAAATCCCCATTGTGAAAACAGGAAAACTGAAAACAGACACCAAGAAGGCGCCCAAGAAGCCTGAGGAGGCTGTCCCCGAGAGCCACATAGAAGGGACCGCCCGCCTGGTGACAGATGCAGCTGAGATCCTCTCCAGACTCGGAAGCGTAGAGCTCCTCCAAGACACATTAGGACACGTCATGCCTTCTGTACAGCTGCCACCAAATATCAACCTTGTCCCCAAGGTCCCTGTCCCACTGAATACCACCAAGTACAACTCCGCTCTGGACACAAACGCCACCATGATCAACTCCTTCAACAAGTTCCCCTACCCAACCCAGGCCGAGTTGTCCTGGCTCACAGCAGCCTCCAAACACCCAGAGGAGCATATAAGAATCTGGTTCGCAACCCAGCGTTTAAAGCATGGCATCAGCTGGTCCCCAGAGGAGGTGGAGGAGGCCCGGAAGAAGATGTTCAACGGCACCATCCAGTCAGTGCCACCGACAATCACTGTGCTGCCTGCCCAGCTGGCGCCCACTAAAATGCCACAGCCAATCCTCCAGACAGCTCTGCCATGCCAGATCCTTGGCCAGACCAGCCTGGTGCTGACGCAGGTGACCAGCGGGTCAACCACTGTCTCCTGCTCCCCCATCACACTCGCTGTGGCTGGAGTGACCAACCATGGCCAGAAGAGACCCTTGGTGACTCCCCAAGTTGCCCCTGAGCCCAAGCGCCCACACATCACCCAGGTGCCAGAGCCCCCACCCAAGGTGGCAAACCCACCCCCCACCCCAGCCAGTGACCGCAAGAAGACCAAGCTACAGATCGCCCATCTCAAGGCGAGCTTTCTGCAGAGTCAGTTCCCTGACGACGCGGAGGTCTACCGACTCATCGAGGTCACTGGCTTGGCCCGGAGCGAGATCAAGAAGTGGTTCAGTGACCACCGGTACCGGTGTCAGAGGGGCATCGTCCACATCACCAGTGAATCCCTTGCCAAAGACCAGATGGCCATTGCAGCCTCCCGACACGGTCGCACGTACCATGCATACTCAGACTTTGCCCCCCAGAAGTTCAAAGAGAAAACACAGGGTCAGATGAAACTCCTAGAAGACAGCTTTTTGAAAAGCTCTTTTCCTACCCAAGCAGAACTGGATCGGCTAAGGGTGGAGACCAAGCTGAGCAGGAGAGAGATTGACTCCTGGTTCTCAGAGAGGCGGAAGCTTCGGGACAGCATGGAACAGGCTGTCTTGGATTCCATGGGGTCCAGCAGAAAAGGCTCAGATGTGGTGGCCCCCAATGGCTCTCTGCCTCGACTTGACCAGCTCACAGGGGCCCAGCTAGCCAGTTCTCTGCCCAGCACTTCACCAGCAATCACACAAACTCATGAACAGGTTCATCTCCTGAGGAGCACATTCACCCGAACCCAGTGGCCAACTCCCCAGGAGTATGACCAGCTAGCAGCCAAGACTGGCCTGGTCCGAACTGAGATCGTGCGCTGGTTCAAGGAGAACAGATGCTTGCTAAAAACTGGAACCTTAAAGTGGGTGGAGCAGTACCAGCAACCACACACTGCAGATGATCACGGCTATGACACTGCACCCAGGAAGGTGGCAAAACCAGCCGCTCAGAGCCCACAGAGCGAAAGTGAGGCAGCTCCGCACTGTCACAAGGACCCCGAGGCTCTCTGCGAAGAGGACTTGGAGAAGCTGGGCCCCAGGAGGAAAGCAGCCAGTGAGCAAGGGAAAGACTGCTTACCAGCCAGGCCCTCAGAGGCCGCCTCGGACAGGTCAGAGGGCAGCAGCCGAGACGGCCAGGGCAGCGACGAGAACGAGGAGTCTGGCGTCGTGGACTATGTGGAGGTGACCGTCGGAGAGGAGGATGCCACCTCAGACCAGTCAGATAGCTGGAGCCAGACTGCAGCAGAAGGCGCCGCAGAACTGGGTGACTCCGACTCCGACAGCGGCCCCGCCCCAGCCAGCCAGGCCTAGACAGGTAACCCCGCCTGCCCAGGCAGCGGAGAAGGCTGGCTCCCGCTCCTCTGCCTGGCAGGGCTGGCACAGGGGGTGGTAACGAGGTGTGGACTCGGGTGGTGCATCCTTCCTTTTAATCAGTAAGAACTGTCCATGCACAGATACCGATCACCAGCATAGCCCAAAGCTATGGTGACGTGAGGCAGCACAGAGCATTTCATATTCCAGATTTGGCCAGGCATTTAGCTCAGTGGTTCTGCCACCTGCCTCATAGGCGCAAGGTCCCAAGTCCAATTCCCAGTACCAGTACCAAAAAAACAAAACAACAACAACAACAACAAAAAAAAACAATGAGGCAGATTCTGGATTTGCTCATCTTTTGGAATATCTGCATATGCACAATGAGGTGTCTTGGAGGTGGGAGCCCGAAATTCATTGATGTTTTACCTACACTGTATACACACAGCCTGAACTTAATTTTGCATAATATTTTTAATGATTCTGTGCGTGAAACGAAGTTTCACGGCGTGGAATTTTCTATGTGGTTCGCATCTTGCAGCATTTTGGATTTTGAAATTTCAGACTAGGGGTGCTCAGGCTGTGTTCATCACATGCAGTGTGATGTTCTGAGGTGCACACGCAGGGTGTGATGGCTCACGGGATGGTTCCCACATGCGTCACCTCACATGCATATCATTTTGATGACAGATGACTCTTTTTCAAGGTTATTTGAAAAGAGGAGGAAAATAAGGGTCAGTGGTCCCTGTCCTTATTCCCAGGCTCATGAAGGGGGCAGCACTGCCACGAGGGGCTGAGTGAGCATTAGCAGATGTAGTGGCCTCAGCACTCCCGTGGGACCTTATAAACCGTCCTGGAGGTTCTTGCCTTACCTCTCTCAACCTTCGGGCCTGACCTTGCTGGAACCCTGTCACAACTGCTACACAACTCAGCCTCCGTGTGTTTTGTGTTCACTGCTGTAAAAAGCAAACAGCAAAAGGAGATGTCATTTTCTTTTCTTCTGCATTGTAAAAGCGTAAGTATTCAAGCTTACTGAATCAGAAATTTGAGGCTGTTTCTTTTCACCTGAAAGTGCTTCATATTTGCCTTGTTTTGTGGCTAAAGCAAGGTGCCACTCTGCTTGGGTCCCCGAATCTGGAAGAGTCCTGTGTACATTTAGACCCATGAAGAGCCACAGCCAGGGAAGGGAGGTTGCCATGGTTACTAATGGCCATTTCGTCCACATAATGGGACAGGCCTCAGAAGCCTTTGGTGTGTGGCTTCCCAAGGCCCTGCAGGCAGACAGCTTGGGGGTGCTGCTTTGCTGGAAGACTGTGAGTGCGGCTAGGAGCCTGGCGTGATCTATCTGTCCAGGTGGGCTTCTGCAGAGGTCACTGTGAAAGCAGGGAGGGGCCTCTCAAGTTATCTTTTAAAATAATGAGATAAAGGTAAGAAGCTCCAGGATGATTTATAAGGCCCTAAAGGGACTCAGTCACCATGTCTGCTAATGAACTCAGACAACTTCAGCTGGCTGCGTAGCTCACTGATTTGTTTATTCGGTAATAAAAGGCCTGAAACCCCCTCACAGCCTCGTTTTCACCAGCTCCACTGCCCATGAAAGGAGCTTGATGAGCCACCAGCCAGAAGCCTCCTGCCTTCCTAAGGGGCTGCTCCTGGGCTGTGAGGCAGCCCCAGGGATGCCGGTGGTAGGAGGGACTACAAGAGCACTGACTTTGCCAGCAGCTCTGGCTACCCCTCCATCTGGCTGCCTCAGTTTCCTCCTCTCTCTGGCTGCTTTCCTGCCCCTCCTTCATTGGAACAGAGTGATTTTTTCTGCCTTCCCAAGTGCTCCTAGCTTGCCCCGTCCCACCTCTGATGCTCTCCTGTCCATGATAGAAATCTTCATGGTGCTCTCACCATGAAGATAGAAAGAAGTCTTCTTCTGCTCTCACCCCAGGGTAGACTTAGTTCTATTCCACTAGGTAGCACATTCAGAATCCCTACTGAGTGCCAACCATTATGCTTGGCCCCAGAATCAGACGAAAACAGGTGACACAGCCCTCCTTTGCGTGGCACTCGTTTGGGCCAAGGAGGGAGGAAAGCGGACTTGCCTCCACCAGCCAGCACAACCCCCAGGTGTTGTAGGACCCGGCACAGCTGTGTGTGTGAGCTCACGCAGGGACACCAGGCCAGGAGTCTCAGTGGTTCCCCAAATGTGGGGCTGTTTGACCCTGGGGCTGCCTTCTAGGAAGGAGTTGGCCCAATGCACAGAGAGAAGAAATGCTCAAGTGAGAAGAACAGTATGGGCCAAGGAATGGTACACGTGAGAACCAAAAGAAATTTGGTGTGGCCAGAAAGTGGAGTTTTGTTTGAGTGAGAACAGCTAAATGCAAACCAAAGCTGGTCTAAACCAATTGTTTGTTGAATTTGAACCAAAAAATCAGTATCCCAGGGTGGGGTCATACGGCACTTGAGAGTCTACATGGCTGAAGTTGAAGGTTATTGCAGATAGCAGGTCCCAGGGTCCCTGATCTACCTGTCCCATCCCTTCTGTTGTGCTATACACCACTGTCTGTGAGAATGCCATCTGGGTGGGCCGTGACGGTGCCTGATCCCTGCTGAAGTCCAGAGGAAGCAAGATGGAGGAAGAAATGCTAAGCCAAAAGGGGAGACTCTTTGGGGAGAAGTAGAGGCGAGATGAAAGTCTGAGGAGCAGAGGTTGGAGGCCTGGTCTCATTGTCTGAGACAGGCAGTTCTCTAATTTTTATAAACTCAGAAGGTGAGACTCAGAAACCAAGAATCTACGCAGTAGCTTCAGCTGGGCTCAGGGCCCTCACCCTCTACTGCCGTCACTGCCCCTCTTCCTGACTGGCAAAAACTCCCCATTATGTGGACCACTCTCTGCTCTGGGGCTTTTGAGGCTGACCTTTGAGTTAACATCAGACAGTTTAGAGGTGTAGGAGCTGGCCGCATGCCCCCCTCAAACCTAAGAACATCCAGGAACCCATTACCATCCATGCCACGATCATGAGCTGAGAAATAAATATTCCAAACCTAGACACTGAGATCCCCACAGCTCCTGCTGCACCCGAAACCATACACTTTCCGGTCTGGAGATCCATCACTCTGAGGTTGGACCGCCAGAGGTGCTGGTGGTGGCCTGTGAAAACTCTCCTGAATCCTAACCAGAGCACTTGGGGAGCCTTTCAACTGAGAGGGGAAAAGTCCCCTAAATTATTTCACAACTTTTACGAACCAAGAATGTGGGTCTCTTCAAATCCATACTCAGGAATGCCCCTACTAAGACACATGTATTTAGAAGCCTGCAGAAAGCACTACTGTTATACACATCATAATCCTGAAAACGATCCCTAGTTTTAACTTTATAGGAGGTGTTTTATGGCGCAAAGTGGTCAGGGATGTGGTGGAGCAGCTGAGAGGGACTCTAGGATTGGATTTCCTCTGTGAGAGAGAAGTATCTCACCCAGGCGGCCCCGCTCCAGGCTCATAATGGCGTGTGACTCCTAGCCACACATGGGAAGATAAGAAATCCTTCCCAAAACTTATGGTGCTGTCTTAGTTACTTTTCTCTCATTGCTGAGAAAAAATACCTGACACCCAAAGTTAAAGGGGGAAGAATTTTTTTAGCTCACATTTTGTAGAGGTTCCAGTCTATAAACGGCTAGCTTCAAGACAGAGTGGCATCACAGAGAAGAAATGGTTCATGGTAGCAAAAGCAACAAGAGACCTTAAGAGCATCTTTCTGACCCTTTTACCTTATTCAGACTACTTAGGACAGGTAGCACTCACACCCTTAACCCTCGTGTCCCTGGGCCTAACCCTCCATGAGCCAGTCACACACTCCAGATTCAGCCACCTCTGAAAAAGCATGAGGCTCCGGGGGACTTCTAAACACAAGCCATAACAGGTGCTGTTTTGATTCAGTCTCAGAGTCTGAATAACTGTTCAGCCATCATTGAGAGAGCAGTCCTAGTAAAAGGATGAAAAATAAAATTTCAATTCCAAAATCTGCTTCCCCCTACTTAAGCAAGACATTGTCAGACCCATGCCTTCATGTTTGAGCTACTACTAAGAGTTTCAATTCATTATTACATGCTATGTGCTTAGCATTCCACAATGTATGTCTATTAAGTCCTGCCAACTTCACAACCATTCTTTGAGGTAGGTACAGCTTTTTCCCCATTCTATAGTAGGAAAAACTGAGACTCAGAGAGAATCTGTGATTTGCCCTGGGTTCCCCAGCCAGCAGCAGGGGGAGCCTGCAGTCCACCTGTCATCTCAAGTGGTGGCATTACTGCCACAGCCTGGGCCAATGAGCAGGACCCAGTCACTTCTTACTGTGTTTAGGAGGAGAAATGAATGCACCTCCCTCATTCAAGGGTGACTCTGGAGTGCTCTCTGCATGTCGGTCACTGTACTGTCTGTATACATACTCCAGGAGGACTGGGACACAGCTCCTGCCTAGATCTAAGAAATGAGACATAGGGCCAGGGATGTAGCTCAGTGGCGCTGCACCTGCCTGGCAAGCGCAAGGTCCTGAGCTCAACCCCAGTACAAAAAGAAAATGAGGCATGTGCATAAAAATACTGGAAGCCTAACTGGATGGACTATTTAATGAGAACTGTGCACAAAGAAACTGGACAAGTTCAGAGGGCAAATAGTAGCTTTTTGTCCAATGCACATGTGCAGACTTTCACCTTATTTACTTTAAATAAAGAAAACAAAGTCTCAGAAACGTAAAGTAACTCACCAAAATGCACTCAGCCAGTGTCTAAATTCGACACCAAAACTCCAGCCACTACCTTGACAACCTCCCAATTACTGCCAGTTTCCTACTCTTGATGATTAAGAATGGTTTCAGGGAAGACGTAAAATTGGTGAAATGTCAAAAAAAATATTTTCCACGGTTCAGCTATCTTAAACTGTTTAAGGCTGCTAAGTGCTACATCCTGGCACAATGGAAGGTCCAGAGTATGTGTGCCCCGCATTGCGTCCCAATCACTG